GCTATGCTTGCTTCTTATTCTTTCTGAGAAGAATTCGCTTGAGTGAGTGATCTTTGCCGCTGAGGGCAATCAACGTCCTAAACTACCCTTTTTGGCCACTGATTCCTTTTGTTACCAAAAAGCAAACTCTCTCAAAAAGTTTTCCCGACAAGATTCTAAAGATACTATTCTTCTTAAGCATCGAATCACTTTTCAAGGAACTTTTAGGTAGCGAGAAAGTGAAGAGCATCTATCGATCACTATTTGTTATTAGTTTGACGGTTGTGCTAGGATATTTCAGTACAAGCTTTATACTTTTTGTCAGTGCAGCCTTACATCTCAACATTGAAATGTTTTACTTGAACCAGTTCGCCGGATTGTTTGTTAACTTAGCAACATCTATCAATTTCTTCGTCTATTACGCCATCAGGTCAGCGATCAAAGAATTTCCAATCTCTTATATGCTTTGTTTATTCCATTTTAATCTTTTCTAATTATTACAACCTAGTTAATTATCCGATAGGTTCAGCCACCAGTTATCGTCAGAGTTCTGGCTAGACTCTTCACGCGGTACCTGTCGGAATGCAAAATGCTTACGTCAAACCGGATCGGAATTATTGTCCGCCTAAGTCACCCTGAAGAATGAGGCTTTGAAAAGTAGCTTACCGCACTCGTTGAGATCACAAATGTCAGTAGTCACTACTTCTTGAGATGGATGAGGAACTCCTGCCAGGCCTGCCTGTGAGATGTGGAAACAATGGAATCGAACCAAATCAAACAAAAGCTCTACAGTAAAGGACACTTTTGTTATCCTGAAGACTGAAGTTTATTAGGCGCTGGTTGTCGTTCATTTACCATTTGAAAGCCGTCCAAGCCTAGAGGTTATTGAGAGGTAGTTTGCCGCTTCTTCTCTCTTTTACACTCTTTTTCACATGCCATGCTTAAACTGACCTCAGTAGTTCCGGTAAATACCGGAGACCAACTGAAAGGGCTCCTAAATACGTAATTCTGAATTCTCCAGGAGAAGAACAATTCTAGTAAGATAGCACTTCCGTATACATAGAATAGATGTGTCGCTTTTCAGCACAGAGTATCGCAAAATCTTCGACGACCTACTCGGAATTGGTCGACTTAAGCTG